ATCCATGCAGAGAAAATGACTGTAATACCTCTGAGTCTGGAGAAGAAGATTTTTGAAATATTGGTTAATTTTCCCTTTTGGGCCCCGCCCTGGCCCCTAGGGTTGGGGTAGGAATCCCAATTTTACAATTTGGTAGCCTCATCTACCAAGGATGATTCTGGCCAAGTTTGAAAAAATTCCATCCACTGGTTCTTGAGAAGAAGTTGATAATGTAAAAAGTTTACGCACGATGACGGACGGAAAGTGATTGGAATAGGTCACTTGAGCAAAGCTCAGGTGACCTAAAAAGATGGTTGATGGTTACCTATATGAGCTTTACATAGTATAAATACATATATATGTAGGCCTTTCAATCTTTTGCCAAAACTCGCCAGAAAAAAATAAATGACCTTTAGGTCCATCCCTATCTCACAAACAAACACCTATACATAACTGTAACTTGAAAGTAAATCTATTCATTTAAACAAAACAGATAGCCTGTCACTCCTGTGACCTTGAAGTCGGTCAAGGTCATTAATCAGAATTAACTTAATATTATCTGGATGGCAAAATATCCCCTTAGTCATTTTAATGATTCAGAAGAATATGTTTTAGAATGCTACTGGCCTCAGCCTAATGATTATTCAGATGAGTTCACTGAAACAAATTTGACTCCCCTGACCTTATAAGTGGATCAATGTCAATTATATGTACAACCATGATAGCCTTTCATCCCAGCATGCCACTGGTTCAAAAGAAGTTGCTTAAATTATTTTTAACATTTTGACCCGTTTGACCTTGAAAATGGGTCAAGGTCATTCATTTGACCAAATTTGAGAGATTTTCATCCATGCATCCTATGCATGTTACTGACCACATATCGTTACCCTAATAATTTTGGTCATTCACGACAAGTTGTTTATAGTAAAGGAATTACTGATGTCAGACGGACAGACGGATGGATGGACAGGCTATGGACAACGCACCATGTCATAAGCTAACTGGGACCTTTAGGCCTGGTGAGGTAAATACTGATTAAAATTCTTTAAGATGCTGTCAAATTTCTAAGACGTTAAATCCAAAAATACAAAGGGAAATTCTACAAATTTTAACAATTTATTGCATTTCATTTCCATGTACATGTATTCCCATAAATGGGGTTTAGTCTTATTATTTGTTTTGGGATCAATTACTATAGAAACTGTTTGCCATAATGACAGCTGGGGTCCCTTATAATAAGGAACTCAACCCCACCATTAGTTAGGGCTTCTACTATAAGAACAATGAGCTTCAGTTTGCTCAGTCACTTGTTAAGGCTTTAATACAATGGTACCATTTCCATTGTTAGTACACCCTGATACAAACCAAAGATGAAATGCAAAATGTTTATCTTTATCCTCAAAACAAAGCATTGATTCTTCGTCAATTTTCTCAATGGTTTGGTAAAAGTTTTGTAGCTATTGTAATGCTACAACAGAATTTGTATTGTTAAGTCTTTATGCTTTGTCATATATTATCTTTGTTCTCAACCAACATTTTTCTGTCAGTTACTGCTTTTGGCAGAATTATTTAATTAAATGGAATTGCATGATATTATATTACTAAAGAACATTTTGTATGAAAACCTGTTTACAGTTTACTAAGTCAAATGCTGCCTGATTCATCAGCTACACAGTATGATGGTCCGGGATAAAACACTGTCCCACTTAAAATTCATCATCAAGCATTGTGATTGGCTGGAAAGGCTAATAGGGGAATCCCCACCACAAGACTTCCTGGTCTGTATAATACAGACATGCTGTACATGTGTGTGAAGTGTGTTTAAAAAGTGAAAGTCTCCGTCTACATCAGCCACTGCTGGAAGAGGGTTTTAGGAGCTGAGGGAAAGGGAGGGTGGAGTTGGTGCCAGATGAAGTTTTAGCCTACATGATCAATAAGAGGTGACTTAACCCTTTCACCCCTACGTAACTTTAGTAGACTCTACCATGAATTGATTTAGATGAGTCCATTATGGTTTACAGTGGTGAAAGGGTTAAGTGGAACTTAAGGCAGTATCGGATGTTTTCTTGTGGGTCTGGGAATGGAGAGAGATCAGTGGGGGGTATGTTATATATCAGTACACACATAGTTTTTAATAGGATATCTTTATTGCAGAATTGGTTAAGAAAATGCTGTTTCTAAATTAATTAATAAACTAGGAATGTAGAAATTTTAATTCTGCCCATTAATTTTAAACTATACAGATTAAGGAATTACTGTACTTAAATTATTTTCTAGTCTAAAGGAGTACGTAAATCTGCAAAATACTGTGCACATTTTTACACAAATGTCTAAATAATGAAAATGTGTATGGGGTACTTATATCTATAACTGAATTTAAATGCTTTTTTATTTGCAAAGGTAATTATTTTGGAGCTGTTTTTTCAAAAAGGGTGCAAAATGCTCCTTCGTAACTCCTATAAAAGGATTGCATCACTATTTTTTAAACACAAGTCGCTGTCCATAGTTATCAACTAAAAGCTTATTATTATTTACTACCAACAATTATCGTCATCAATAAAATTAATCAGTATTCTTTTTATCGCTGTGTGACTTCTAATATCCAAGAAATAGTCGCTTCTTTATATACCCACAAACTGATCTACTGACTGATGAGACTGTTTA